GTGTGTGTCACGCAGCTGTGTGTCCACGCAGTACGTGTGTGTGTGCACATGCAGTACGTGTGTCACGCAGCTGTGTGCCCATGCTGTACGTGTGTGTGTGCACGTGCAGTACGTGTGTGTCACGCAGCTATGTGTCCACGCAGTACGTGTGTGTGTGCACGTGTAGTACGTGTGTGTCACGCAGCTGTGTCCACGCAGTACGTGTGTGTGTGTGCACGTGCAGTATGTGTGTGTCACGCAGCTGTGTGTCCACGCAGTACGTGTGTGTGTGCACGTGCAGTACGTGTGTGTCACGCAGCTGTGTACCCATGCAGTACGTGTGTGTGTGCACGTGCAGTATGTGTGTGTCACGCAGCTGTGTGTCCACGCAGTACGTGTGTGTGTATGCACGTGCAGTACGTGTGTGTCACGCAGCTGTGTACCCATGCAGTACGTGTGTGTGTGCACGTGCAGTATGTGTGTGTCCACGCAGCTGTGTGTCCACGCAGTACGTGTGAGTCACGCAGCTGTGTGTATGTCATGGTCTGTGTGTGCACGTGTGGCTTGCACACCTGTGCCTCGCTGGCCCCTGTCTCAGAGGCAGCTGCCGCTTGTGGTCGAGCCCTGTGGCAGGTTCCCGTCCACAGTCACAGGGTGACGGATTCCCGTGAGCTACAGAATCACACCAGGCATCAGAAGGAGAGCCCAGAGCAGCTGTAGCGCAGATGGGAACAAGCAGGACAACTTAAGGCCATGAGTCTAGCACAGAAGTGGAAGGACTTCCCACCTGTAGCCTCCCATCCTCACTGGGACGCAGGTCCCGAACTGCGGGGCAGGGCAGGGCAGGAAGAAGACAGCACGTGGTTCGTGCTGCAGGTCACTTAGAGCCTGTCCCCTCAGGAGGGACGCAGTCCTCGGGTTTTCAGGAACGAAGCTGGAGGAAACGAAGGGTTATTGTTTTGTTAGTCTTCGTCACTGAAACAAATTTCTAATTGGTGAGCTTCAAGAAGTCTGTATGTTTGCCAAGATAGAAATTTTGCAAGCTTTTAAATCGGATGGATTTCTTTTAAATCTTGAGAAAAATCTAGTGGGACGGTGGGTTGGGGGGTGGATCTTAACGGTTGGGGCACTTGGGTGCCTCCGTCGTTTAGCCATTTGACTTGTGATCCCAGGACTGTGAGTTCACGCCCTGCGCTGGGCTCCATGCTGGGCAAGGAGCCTCCTTAAAAAAAGAAAACATTCTCTCACAGGACATAGCTGCACAGAGACAGGTACCTGCCTTAGAGCTCGCTGGCCACTCCACAGCCTCCATTTCATGGGTGCCTGCCTGTGGCTGGCCTGTCAGTCTCCAGGGAGCACACCTGAGGCCCCGCTGGCCCTCCTCCCGGGCACATCATCCTCACTTTCCCTTTGTTTCCCGAAGCCGGGGCCACCTACCATTTGCCGTCATCTGGCTCCAAGGCAGGCTGAGGCCAGACTGTGATGTTGCAAGTGACCGTTCATCCTGACCTTCAGGAATCTTCTGTGTCCTGCCACTTGGGAGAAAAACAGCCGCCTTCCAGGACAGTGCTTTTGAGGGGGCGTTTAGCATGCTTGTCTCCACGGTCACCGGGCCTGCCTGGGCATTCAGAACCCAGAACGCAGGAGTCCTCTAGGCCGGGCTTGTTCAGATAGAAGGCCTGGCAGCTCTGGTCTGATACAGAGGTGGCTCCAACCAGGAAAAAAACCGCAGCACTTCAGTCCCAAGAACCCGAGGTGGTTTGCAGGGCAGGTGGTGTAGGGCGGGGGGCGCTCTGGAAAGCGGATGGTCTTTCCCAGTGGGAGCATCACAGATAAAGAGGTGATCCCTCAAACAGGTGCTCACGGGTAAAATGTCTCATCCCTTCTGGAGAACAGCAGCCTTCGGGCTTGACCCATCTCTCCCCAGTCCCGTGGTGGTGTTCCTTAGACCTTAGCGTGGCCCTAGTTATGCAGAGTAAATAACTTAATTTTTGTCTGTCAGGTTTGGAGCCTGTGAAATAAAGAAACGTAATACATTTACTGAATTACACAGAAGTCATGACACCGCGACGGTCTGTCAGAGGTCATGTTACCTAGTAGAAAGGAGGTGTGTCTGTCCGCGCAGCACAATGACCCGGTCTCACTCCCGTGGACTCGAAGAAACCGTGCAGAGGATCATAGAGGGAGGGAGGGAACACTGAATGGGAAGTCGTTGGTGAGGGAGAAAAGCCATGAGGGTCCCTTAACTCTCCGAGACAAACTGAGGGTTGTGGAAAGGGTGCTGGTGGGGGGATGGGCATTAACGAGGGCACGCGACGAGAGGGGCACTGGGCGTTCCACGCCACTGATAATTTGTTGAGCACACCTGAGACTGGTAATGTACTCTCCGTTGAGTAATTGAATTTAAATAAAGTAAAATAAAATAAAATAAAATAATAAAAAGAAGGTGTCCCTAACACTCAAGTGCCCCAAGAATGCCGGGAAATTTCTTTTCTGTACCGGTTAGCCACATGCCTTTTCTTGTTTCCTGTGACAGATAATCATTCGAAACCAATGGAAATAGACGGGGACGTTGAGATCCCGCCCAACAAAGCCACAGTCCTTCGGGGCCACGAGTCGGAGGTGTTCATCTGTGCCTGGAACCCCGTCAGTGATCTCCTCGCTTCAGGGTAAGGATGCTGGGACGGGGGTGCCCCGGGGCCAGGGCTGTTCTCTCCTTTCTGGAGTGCATGCTCCCCTCTCACTGGCGGCGGACCGCAACCTCGGGCCCTCGGTGCTGCGCTCCTTCCCAGGTCGTGAGGAAGTCCTCGCTGCGTCCTGTGTCCTCCCCAGGGCAGGGATCAACGCAAAGATGTTTGAAATTGCGGAGGGGCGCCAGCTGGCTCCGTCAGTAGCACTGGTGATGCTTGACCCCAGGGGTGTGAGCTCGAAGCCACACTGGGCGTGGAGCCTACTGGAGAAAAAACAATTAAAATAACGAAGAGCGACAAAAATGATGAGGCAAAAAAGCCGCCAGTGAGCGGGATTACAAAGACACAGAGCCACATGCTGGAGATAACCGGGCTCAGGCAGCCCAGTGTGGCAGGCGCTGTCTGGGCCTGAACCAGAAGCTGAATGCTGTGCGTTCTCCTCCTACAGATCCGGAGACTCGACGGCGAGAATATGGAACCTTAACGAGAACAGCAACGGGGGCTCCACGCAGCTCGTGCTGCGGCACTGCATACGGGAAGGAGGACACGATGTCCCGAGCAACAAGGATGTGACGTCGCTGGACTGGAACGTAAGCACCTGCTGCTGCGTGAACGCGTCCACAGCTCCGACCTGGTCCCTGTCTCAGCGGGGCCCCGTGGGGCGTGAACACGGGGCCGCGGGCCATGCTGCCTGCGAGCCCCCCACCCCAGGGCTGCTCTCACGTTGCCGAGAGCGTCTCGCAAGGCTGCACTGGGCAGAAGCGAGCTGGGTGCTCAGTGGGCCTCCCTGGGCGCGGTGAGCCTGCTGGTTCCCAGGGGAGCCCACTCTGCTGGCGAGGGGTGCCGTGCAGCCCGGGAAGGGGGACCGTCTGGCTCGCTGCTCCTGCCCTGGGCCTCCCACGCATCTACATGTGGGAAGCCCACAGCTCTCTCGAGCTTCTGTGCGTTCTCCCTGCATCCCAAACCCCCGTGTGTGCACACGCGTTTCCGACAGCTTCCTCCGGTCTCGCCACGTCTCCCTGGGCCTCTCTGTGTGGTGCGTGGAGGGATGTCACCGGGCGGACGGGTCACGGTGCATTTTCCTCGCTCCCCCGCCTGCCATTAGGATACTGTGCGGTGTCCTGCCTGAGCTGTGTGGGCTGAGGTCGTCCCAGGGGCCGCTAGTCGTCACGGGCAGCCAGTGATGGGTGCGAGACGGTTCTAGCCCTGGGGCAGGGGGAGAGGCCGGCTTTGCGTGTACTGAGCTGTGCGGCATGTGTGTTTCTGGCCCGCAGAGTGACGGGACACTGTTGGCCACGGGTTCCTACGACGGCTTTGCGAGAATATGGACCGAAGACGGTAAGCCGTGCCTCGTCGCGCGCTGGGAGAAGACGGGCCGCGCGGTGTAATGGGACGCGAGCAGGCCGTGACCTTGAGGTCTAGCACGGCCGTGACCTTGAAGTCTACCTGTTGGTTCCTTTACCTCACAGGCAACCTGGCCAGCACCTTAGGGCAACATAAAGGCCCCATCTTCGCCTTGAAATGGAACAAAAAGGGGAATTACATTTTGAGTGCTGGTGTAGACAAAGTGAGTATTCGCTCAAAATGGGTCTAAAAGCAGTCTCTTTGATCCGTAGCTGCTGATGTATTTTTAATCTCTGAATAACATCCTGGGGTTTTTTGTTTTTGTGTTTAATTCTGAGGCCTTCTGCTTCTCCTTAGTAAGGCAGAAGAGCTGCTTTCAGGTTGGTTTGTGTGGTTTGGGTTCCACTGTTCATTGATAACACGGACTCTGCGCGCATCACGCTGTTCCACAGACCTCTGTGCACGGCCCCTCCCCCCTTGCTTTGAGGTACGTCCTCCAGTGACGGAAAGAGGAAATCCCCCAGTTGGCCATATCCAGTGCTTGAGAAGCAAAGTGGCGTGGGACGCCCGGGACAGAAACCTTTCCCCCACTGAGCAGTTTTGGAAACACAAACCGTTTTCTCTCGCCTGGCTTCTTTTTCCCTAATTCGATGAGTTGTGACTTCCCGTCGTGGGCTGCAGGCTTCTCTGAGAGCTGGAGGAAAGCGGGCCCACCCACGACAGGGCCCACTCGGTACAGACACGGGGCCTGGGCAGGGCTCCCTGCTGGATGTGACGGGATCAGGTCCGAGTGGCTGTGAGCAGCCAGGGGCCTCCAGAAGCCATGGGCGGGTGAGGAGTCAGCGGGTGTAGGCGTCATCTGGCCTGAGTGTGGGCCTCGCTCTCTGGGCCTGCTTCCTCAGTTGCCAGGAGCCAGGAATCAGGACTCCCCAAGACCGTGGACGGAATGGGTGCGTCATTCCCAGGACTCAGCAGGGACTGGAAGTTCTCGTTTTGGAAAAATATTCGCAAGAAACAAAGCCAAAGGGGAACAGAAGTGCTTTGTGTTCCTGCAGCTGTCGACCGGGTCTGAGGACCAGACTGGCGTGTGGCTTCCGGAGGGCTTCACGTTTTCCTGCTGACGTCAGGACCGTTGGGAAACCTGGTGACACTGCTGGGTGCGCCTCCGGGGGCTGCCGTGAACACACAGTAGTAGCTGCCACCCGTCCACACGGCCACGGGCTGGGCTGCAGTCCGCACTCTCCGGCCGGTAACCGGCGGCGCGTGCCGACCCCAGACCGGGGGTAGCCCTCTAGGTCCGCGAAGAGTACCGTCGTTCTCTCGCTCGCTCTCTAAGCCAGGAAACCTTTCTTTCACACCTGGTCGACGTATGGCTAATGTTGACACAAACTGAGGGTCGTGCTTGAAACACTCACTGTTCTCCTGGAACTCCCATCCGATCATCCGTGAGGTGGCCTAGTTCCGGTGCCCCCCCCCCCCCCGCCCGCCCCACACACACACGGTTGTCGGGTCCGTGGCTGGTCCCACTGCTGACCGTGTTGTTGAAGTGATCGTGCAGACCATCGCTGGCCCTTCTCCAGCACGTCACTGTACGTGATGGCCCCTTCGGAGCTCCCGAGAGCGGCGGCGGTGGCCCCCGTGCCAGCGGCCCCGCTTCACAGACACCCATGCTCACTCACTCGCCCATGGACACTCGGGTCCAGCGTGTGGGCCCTGGGCAGTGGTAACTTCTGCCTCTTGACCTCCACACCCTCGTAAACAGTTCTTTGCAACTCACGCCAGTGCTGGGACTCTTCTTTATATTCTGTGTCTGATTTTTCCACCTTGCTCTCGGTTGTGACTCTACGAGGCGCTGAGCTGGGCGGCCAGTGAAAATGCACATTTGGCAATGTGCTAGTCGGTGGGCCCTGCACTCTCTGCCCTTGTGCGCCACCCACAGCGGGAATAGTAAGAATGTTCTCGAAAGCGAGACCTAGGGAGGAAGGGCCACGGACAGGGATGCTGGGGTTGGCCTTCAGTCCGTGGTTAACCTGGGAGTGGTGGCGGAAGGCTACATCCCATCCTTAAAAGGCTTCGTGTGCTTGGTGTTGTGTACTGAATGGAAACACCAACCAGGAGATGGGGTTAGTGCTGTGGTGCGTGACATTGTCTCAGAGGAGTACCGAGCGAGTTTATGGATTCTCTCCACTGCCACATTTGTGAGCAGCTACAGGAAGAAGAGTAGGACGTTCCACCATACAACAAACAGTTTATTGGTCTGGGGGCGCCGGGCTGGCTCAGTCAGTGGGGCGTGAGACTCTCGATCTCAGGGTTGTGAGTTCGAGCCCCACATTGGGTGTAGAGTTGACTTAAAAAAAAAAAATCTTAAAAAAAAGAAAAAGTTAATTGGTTTAGAGCTGACCCGAGACTTAGAGAACTGGTTTTCAAAGATGGTTGGTGCTCTGAGGATTTCATCTGCAGGTGATAGAAAAAAACATAAGCAGTTTTTCTTACAGCAGAATTTTAAGTGCTATGGACAGGGAGGTGGGCGAGTTCCAGTTAAGGTAGGACTTCCAGCTGATGAAGACGTAATTCCTGTGGGGCGCCTGGGTAGCTCAGTCGTTAAGCGTCTGCCTTCAGCTCAGGTCCTGGGATCGAGCCCCGTATCGGGCTCCCTGCTCAGTGGCGAGTCCGCTTCTCCCTCTCTCTCACACTCTCTCTCACAATCTTGAAGAAAAAAAAAACCTAATTCTGGTGGTGGTCACTGAGCTGTGTCTTGTCACTTCCCTGTCTTTCTGCCATCAGTGAGTTCCTAAGCCTTCAGGATTTACTTCGCTTTGCAAGGTGGAGATCGTTTTTTCTCCATCTCTGTAGAGCGCTGGCCGAGTCCGGTGTGACACACTGCTGTGGTGTATGTCGTGTCCACATCATGGGACTGATGGTCCGGGCCGATATCACAGTCGACGTTTCCTCTAGGCCCGCATTTGGAAAGTGCTAGAAAGCTGTCTTGAGGTGCTTTGTTGCAGGTTTTTCAGCAGGACTCCGTGTTGGCGGGGAGGGGGAACCCCACCAGTCGAGCAGTTTTCCAAACTAGTCACCAGCACACACGGCTGTTGAGTTCGTAAAATGTAACCATCGGACTGTGTAGCATAAACCGCACACTGGATCCCAAAAATCTAGACCAGAGACAGGACGCCAGATAGCTCACAAATGTTCACGTACCGATTCCGTGTTGGAACGGTATTTTGGCCACACTGAACTAAACTGTTAAAATCAATTTTAACGATTTCTTTTTCCTTTCCAGACTTACTTATTTGGGGGCGCCTCGGTGGCTCAGTGGGTTAAGCCTCTGCCTTTGGCTCATGTCATGATTCCAGGGTCTTGGGATCGAGGCCCGCATCAGGCTCTCTGCTCAGCAGGGAGCCTCCTTCCCCCTCTCTCTCTGCCTGCCTCTCTGCCTACTTGTGATCTCTCTCTCTCTGTCAAATAAATAAAATCTTTTTAAGAAAAGATTTATTTATTTGTGGGGAGGGGGGCAAGAGCATGTATATACGAGGGGATGGGCAGAGGGAGAGAGAGAATCTTCAAACAGGTTCCCTACTGAGTGCAGAGCCCAAGATCATGACCTGAGCCGACACTAAGAGTCAGACGCTTAAGCAACCGAGCCGCCCAGACGCCCCTTTTTCTATTTGTCATTAATGTAATTTTGAGAAAATTAAAAATAACTTTTGTGGCTCACATTGTCTCTCTTGGTCAGTGCTGATTTAGAAAGAGCGGGGGCTGTTCACAGTCTTTTCTTGTATGTTAGATCTTTCTAGAGAAATCTTTCTGTGAAGAATAGTTCCTGACTTCTGTCTTTTTGTTTGCGGAGCACAGACAACCATCATTTGGGATGCCCACACAGGAGAAGCCAAGCAACAGTTCCCTTTTCATTCCGGTGAGTTTCCGTGGGATTCTTTCTTCCTTTCTTTCCTTTTTTTCTTTTCTTTCTTTCTTCAATTCAGAAGGAGTAATTCGTAGACCTAGAAATGTCCAATAAAGTAATCGTGAAAGGTGGCAGGAAGATGTCCGTGGAGTGTAGCTGGGAAGAGGAAGGTACGTTTCCCGGGAGGCCTTGCTTTGAAGCCCTGCGAGGTACAGTGTCCCTACAAGCCCACCTCTGGCAAGCCAGTGTGCCCTCGACCCGTGCCGTTCGCTCGGAAGGTAAAACACACGGCAGCGAACCTCCCGCAGAGCCAGTGTGGACGCCTTTTCTCCTGCTGTCCCGAGGCGGGTGCTGTGTTGGGCTTCCCTGCGGCCGCGCCCGGACTCGGAGGCTCCCGGGGAGGGCTCCCCGGACTCAGAGGAACGCGGTCCTTGGGGTGATGGATCAGCACGGAAGGACACAGAGCAGAAGCTGCAGGCCAGAGGTGTATGGGGGCGTGCACTGCCAGGGCCCCTGAGGGTCCTCTCCTTGCCGAATCCGTCATTGCACATCTCATGTCCCCCAGAAACATGTTAGGACAACACACGGAGGGTCAGCTACCAGGAAAACCCACAAGGACTCTGTACCTGAGGCTGGTCGTTGGGGCGGGCCCTATAGGCAGCCCTGCCTGGCCTATGTCCTAATGGCAGACTCCCAGAGGGGAAGCAGGGGTTCCACATACACCCCACTGTTTGCCCAGTTTAGGCACAGAAGAGCATTCTTGCCCTTTAGGCAGTAGTGAGAAACCCCCGGAGTCCAGATTCCCAGTCTCGGGCCAAGGTCCAGCCTTGCCCGTGGGCGCTCCCATGGCGACAGCGTCAGGCCCGTGGGGGTCCGTCCGCCCCGCAGAGATGTGTTACCCTGCTCGGAACTTCACGCTGTCTTCGTGTGTCAGCTCCTAGCAGGGTGCGCAGAGCCGCTAGGGGTCTAGAGAGTTCTAGTTGGCCAGATGGCCACCTGTTCCTTCACGCCATGTGTAGCACAGTCTAACTGTTAGATGCGGCCTCTCGAGACGACGACAGACCACCCCCTCCCAGAAGAAAGAGACCGTTGGGAAGACCGGCTCAGGCTGGACAAAAGGGAGTGGACGCCCCTTCCCTCGACAGGAAGTGTCTGTTCTGTTTTGAGGGAATCGCGGTGTGCGGAGGGAGTGTTTATTGTTCTCTTCGGGCATCTTGACGGGGAGCCTGGCGTGCTGGTGCTGGTCTGCCTCCAGGCATGGCCCCAAGGACTCCCCTGGATGGCAACGCCCATCTCCGTGCCCAGTGAGGGGTGTCCAGGGAGCCGACGGAGCCGAAGACTCAGTGAGGCAGGACCGGGTTCCGACGCACGGACACCGGTCTCCTGCGACTGCCCGCGGTGCCTCAGCCGCACTTTCTCCGATCGGGGGCCCTGGGGTCGCAGCTGACACCGTGCCTCTTGCAGACCTAGCACGTCCCTCCCATGGGTCCTCATAGCCCGGGGTCCACACCGGGTTTACCCCCAGGGTGCCGGTGCATTCTGCTGTTAGTGTGGCCATAATCTCACCCTGCTCATGACGCGGAACTGGCTGAACAGGTTCAGAGTGTACGTTCTCCCCCCCGGGGGGGGGGTAGGTTGACGTCAGACACAGGCAGCCTGGAGCTCCAGCCTGCGTGGTGCGGGGCGAGGGGGGGGTGCAGGTCACATGACCAGTGCCGTCTATAAAATCTGCTACTCGTGGACCATTACTACGGACTAGTTCCAGAACACGCCCACCGCCCCAGCAGGAAATCCCTTCTCTTTAAGAAGTCAGTGTCCCTACAAGCCCACCTCTGGCAAGCCAGTGTGTCTGCGTCTGTGTGTGTCGCCAGGTCGTACTTCTATTCCCGAGGGCAGAGCAGGTAGCGAGCGACCGTGTTCTTCACGGGGGCCTGGCGCTGTGCTGGCATAAATGCCGAACATGTCCCGTCTTCTGTTGTCTGGGGGGACACAGTGACAGGCTCAGGGTTGTAGAAGAGCAGGGCTGCTGACCCGTGTGCTTGGAGGGAATCCCTGAACCCAGCTCTGGATTCCACCGTCCAGGGGAAACTCGGGCCCCCGGTGAGCATCACTAGGATTCCCCGCACACCTCCGAGAACTGATGTACGGGGCGCCTGGCTGGCTCTGCGGTAAAGCATCCGACTCTTGATTTTGGCTCAGGCCCTGACCCCAGGGTTGTGAGATCAGGCCCCATGTCAGGCTCTACGCTCAGCACGGAGTCTGCCAACATGTTCCCTCGCTCCCTCTGCCCTCCCCCCCCAAATTATAAATAAATCTTTACGGTTTTTCAGCAGAACGTAACATTTCCCAGAGCATTTTGAAGACTTCCTGGAAGGGCCAGTTCTCTCCCGCCAGCCCAGGAACACCACCCGTGTGTTTCTTATGTAGCGAGAGACCTCCTCACCCATAGTTCTCACTGTCATGGGGTACGGGCCCTAGTGCCGGTTCAGTTATATGCAGGTGTCGTTTGCTCTTCCCCCCACCCCGGTGTTGTTCAAGATGGTAAGACGGAAGAAAAAAGGAGGTGTGCTCCTTTTCAGAGCAAAACACAGCAAGTTCAGGCTTCTGAGGACCCTCACTCAGCGTTCAGAAAGTCCGGATTTGATGGTTGACCCGAGAAATTGCTTTGCCTTGTTAGGTTTTCCCTCTGAGCACCCAGTAGGGCCGCCGTGCGTCACCCCCAGCAGGAAGCATTAGCTTGGAGCCTCACGGTGGACGACTTCTGAGCAGTCAGAAGGGACCGTTATCAGTAGACGGCTGGTAGCACGCTCGGCTGGGTGGGGCTCACCGGCGTGTGGCTGAGGGACGTGGGCCGGTGTGCAGAGCTCACCTGCTGTGAGTCCATCTCACAGGCCGTTCTTGAGGTGATGAACTCGGAGAACACCTGTGTGCAGCCACACTGTAGGGGTGGTGCCGGGAGGGCGTGCTGCGAGTGCGAAGCGGCACGACGGCACTCTTGGTGGCGATGGCAGGTTCTAGATCTGACGGTGGCCGTGGTCGCTCAGAGCCCCCGTGTGATAAAAGGGCCCAGCCCCCCACACATCCTCCCCCGCGCACGTCCGGGCATCAGCTTTCTGTTACGCTCCTGTCCTGTGAGCCAGAAAATACAGCCACTGGGGGAGCGGGCACCAACAGTCATGTTTCGGAATTAGACTTAAAAAAAAAAAAGCCAAGACAGCCAGGTTGTGCCTGGAGTAGGTCGGCTGCTGAACCTCACTGGCCCTTGTCGGGGCGGAGGGCACGCGGACCCCAGAGTGGCTGCGCCTTGTTGCCTGTCACTTACCCATGCTGAATGGTGAGATCGTCCCGGGAGCCCCGGGGGTCCTGACGGCTGGGGCCCACTCACAGGGAGACCAGCCACCAGTACCGAGGGTCCCCTCTCTGGACGGCGAGGGTTAGCGGGCGCTCATCTTTACGAGCATGTGCTGGACACTCCCGGAACTGGGCCCCACCCCCCCAGTTCGTCCTGTTCCCACGTGCGTGGGTTGCCACTCCCTGAATGCAGAGGGCGGCCCAGGAATTCCGGGAAGCGCGGGTGCACTGTTGTCGGCAAGGCCTCAGCTCCCCGTCCGGCTCGGGGCCTCATCCCTCGGACCAAGCCGGATCGGTTCCTTCCTAATGCTGTGCCTGCCCAGGGAGTGTGCCGGGAATCGTGGGCCGCATTAATGGGTTGCAGGAGATTTTGAAAAATCAGGATATGGTGAACATAGGCTAGGAAACGTTTTTGATCTCATTGTCTCTTCTCCTCGTCTACAACAAATCCCATCAGCCCACCACAGGGGTATTTCTGGAAGCAGCAAGGTCTAAGGGCAGGCAGTGCATGTTCTCCTGAACCCTTTCTCCCCATGTTGGGGGTCCAGAGACTCTGGAGGCCACAGGGCACGGCAGCTCTCGTGGTGTCTCGCAGAGCCATGTGCCCGGTGTCCCGGATGCGCACGGAGAGGTCTCGGTGCTCCGGGCACGTTCTCGTATCGTGTTACCCGCGAGGCTTCTGGACCCCGCTGCTGGTGGTTTCAGTCAGCTGAGCTGTGCGCACCCGTGGTCAGCGCAGGCGTCCCTGTCCCTGCCCCGCAGCGCCCGCCCTGGACGTGGACTGGCAGAACAACACGACCTTCGCCTCCTGCAGCACCGACATGTGCATTCACGTCTGCAGACTCGGCTGTGACCGCCCGGTCAAAACCTTCCAAGGACACACGGTGAGTGTGGCTTCTGGCAACGGGCCCCCGCTTCCCAAGAGGCTGCCTCCGGCGTTGCTGGTGGCTGGATTCACCCCGCTGTGGGCAGGCGGCAGCCCCGGGACCGACCCTGAGACGAGGCGGGGGCTCGATTCTGCCCGGAGGACTTTGTAAAGTGGCTGCTGTGAAAACGGTGCCTGTGCTGGGCGAGCGGATGGGGAGCGTTGGCAGAGAAGGGAAAACTGTCTTCTTAACAAACGGCCCAGTGGACACGTGAGAACTGAGGACTATGAGGTCTGAAAGGGAAATCTTCTCGGGAGGGGGGTTCAGCAGCAGGTGGGAGACTGTGGGGAGCCCAGCAATGAGCTGATTGACAGAAGGGCTAGAAGCCCCAGCAGACTTTCTCAGAAAGGCTTTGTGACCCATGGGCTGTAGGAAGCTGATACGTACAGTGGAGAGAGGGGAGAGAGAGAACGCAAAAATCGTACGAAGCGTTAATGGCCTCTTTTCCCAAATGTGGTGGGAAATACCCGCATCTGATCCCGGAAGCTCCGAGGGTCATCGGATTCCTCGGTGTAGGGGCACAGCTGGATCCCGGTCGCTTTTCCAGACCAGATCCCTGCAGCCTCCGAACCACCACCCCACCCCACCACCCTACCCCCGCCCTCCTGGGAGACCTGCCCGACAAACACCGCTGTCCTCAGCACTCGCTCATTTCCACAGGACCCCCCTGTCCCAGTGTCTGCCCCCCAAGGCCCCTGCTTCCAGAGCACAGGCCTCAGCAATCCTGTTACCATCTCGGGTCTCTAAACCAATGCCCCTTCTTCATGTTTTCTGTCTCTTCCTCTCTCCCCTGACGCTACACTCTCTCCAAACTTTGAGTAGACGTCTTCGTGGCTTCCAGGTGTCCCTTAGAGGATTCACCCCCATAACACTTTTTTTTTAAGATTTTATTTATTTGACAGAAATCACAAGTAGGCAGAGAGGCAGGCAGAGAGAGAGGAGGAAGCAGGCTCCCTGCAGAGCAGAGAGCCCCATATGGGGCTCAATCCCAGGACCCCGGGATCACAACTTGAGCCGAAGGCAGAGGCTTTAACCCACTGAGCCACCCAGGCGCCCCACCCCCATAACATTTTTAAATGGGGCTTCTCGCCGCTCACCGTCTCGCACAAGATACAACCTAAATGTAGTTTCTCCTCCCGAGACCGCGTGGGACATCCCCGGATGTGAACCATCCCTGAGTGCCTCCTGGGAATCGTGGCTTGGGTTGCAGAAGTGCGGAGAAAACGCCACTGCGGGAGGAGCTGGTGCCCCCCCTCGAGGGGTCTAGCTGGAGACAGGCAGTGGGCCCGGCTCTGCGCTCCTGGGCCCGGAGAGATGAATCCATAGGGTCTCCTCGGTGGCTGTGGCCAGAGCCCCCGAGGCTGCCTGTGCTCGCTGAGCCCGTCCCTGGGGCAGTGCCTTCCTTGGGCCCCGGGTTTCCATGCGGTCCGGCATGCACGTTCTCGTGCATCCGTGCGAGCGCACACGTACGCACACCCGTCTCTAGTCTTGCTGCTCCGTTCTCCGTTAGCCCAGCCAGTAGGCTGCTCCTGGGCCTCCCGGGCGTCCTTCCTCCCTTTTTCCCAGGCTGTCCACCGTCCATACTGTGTGGAACAGACATGGCCTTGTCGTTTCTCCACGTCATGCCGTTCAAAGCTTAGTGTCCTTAACAAGTAATAGGACCATAAAATTTATCCAAATCAGAGTACTTCAGAGTGGGAAATTATTAATCGTGGGTCTGAAATCAGGCACTTGTCAGGCTGGGGTGACAGACATGAGCGGGACCCTACATGGGCTATGGTGCTGCTACTGGAAAACCGCGAGACCCACGGCCTCGCTCCCACCAGTCCTCGCCACGGGGCCCGCTCCAGGCCCGGCACCTCACCGCCCCCTCCATGCTGAGGCGCAGCCGGTTCCTTTAGAAACACCCGTGCCTCGGGGGGCCTGGGCCGGCATGCTGCGGAACTCAGCCTCGGGGTCATCCGGTCCCCAGTACGAGAAGGCTGTTTGCAGCCTCCTTCCTTTCTGTCCCCCGCAGCACAGTGCAGCTGCTTGCTGGAACTTTCTACCCGTGCTGGGTTGTGGCACCTGGCTTACTTGTTTGCTCCGGATTTCTAGCCCCTTGCCCCCTGCCCCCTCAGGGTTTTTGTTTGCGGGTGCATTCCTAACAGTTACCCTGGTTCATCTCGATCCTGTCTTCACCCTGGATTAAACCCTCCTGTGTGTCTGAGGTCTTAAACCTTTGCCTTCCACCGCCCGTAGCCCCAGCACGAAGAGAGGGGTCTTGTAAGGGATTCAGACAGGAGGTAGCTGCAGTATTAAAAGTGTGTAGTGGGGGGCGCCTGGGTGGCTCAGGGAGTTAGTCCTTTGCCTTCAGCTCAGTTCATGATCTCAGGGTCCTGGGATCTGAGACCCGTGTTGGGCTCCCTGCTCAGGGGGGAGCTTGCTTCCCTCTCTGTGTGCCTGCTGCTCTGCCTTCTTGTGATCTGTGTCAAATAAAATCTCTTTTTTTAAATATTTATTTATTTGACACACAGAGATCACAACCCACTGAGCCATCCAGGTGCCCCAAAATAAATAAAATCTTGAAGAAAAAAAAAAAAAAAAAAAAAAGAAAGCCTGTAGGAAAGCGACTTTCACAGTTCCGTTTAGGATAACCGCGGTCTTACTCGTTCTCTGCGTTGCTGTGAATTCATCGGGCTCCCTAGGAGTGATTTTCTCGTCTTAGAGAAACGTAGGTGAGGGTGCCTTTGGCTGTGCTCGCATGTAAACGTGGAAGGCAGAGTGAGAGAGAGAACGGAGACTGACGGGAAAAGCAGCAAGTGTGGGGTTTCCAGTGGCGTCCCTGGAGACGCGGCCTAAATGCAGGCTCCTTGCGGCGCCGGCGCGGCGCTGCTGCCCCCTGCTGGAAGGCCGTGGTACCTGCGCACACGCCTTCTCAAACCCTTCGCTCTTTCAGAACGAGGTCAATGCCATCAAATGGGACCCTTCCGGAATGCTGCTGGCGTCCTGCTCCGACGACATGACGTTAAAGGTAACGGGGTCCGAGAGGGCGGGTGTCTGATCCGCGACGGCCCTACACCCTCGATGCGGAGCTCGCGTTCCCTGCTTTTCCGCGGGTAACTCTGTTCCCGGTCCTCTCTCAGCCTCTGTGCTCTGTCCCCGTTTCTAACTGGACATCACTGGCCTGCGGCTAACTCCTGTTGATGCGTCGAGGGTCCTGCTGACACGCCTTCCCTTCCCTGTGGCCTTGCTCACAGGTGCAGCCGTGTCACAGGAGCCCACGGCGTGAGTGATAGCCAGTGGCTCCTGGCCAGAGAGACGGCTTTTGCTCACACGGTCCCTCCCCCATTCCCTAGATCTGGAGTATGAAGCAGGACACGTGTGTGCATGACCTTCAGGCTCACAGCAAAGAGATCTACACCATCAAGTGGAGTCCCACTGGGCCCGCCACCAGCAACCCAAATTCCAACATCATGCTAGCAAGGTAAAGGACCGCCAGCCCCCAGCCCCGGGTGCCGTTCCTAAACGCGGCCTGGCTCACTGGGGCGGAGCCGGCCATGGGGCCAGTGAGAGCCAGTCGTATGCAGAGAGGACGGGAGATTTCGCTGATGTGCATGGTCAGTTCGTGCATGTCTTTCCAAGCTAAGGGACATGGTGAGCTCGCTTTGAAAGTGCCCAGAACACTGAGGTGACACCTAACTTGAGGTAGGGATCGTTTCAACCATGAGGCTGGCAGGAGGCGCTGATGTGCAGGCTCCGAACACTGGGCTTTGGTGAAGCTTCTTGTTAAGACGGAGCAAGGAAACGGAGCTCAGTATGGACATCAGGTGTGCTTGGTTCCCCTTCCAGCAGCAGGAGGGGAGCACTGGAAGCGAGGACACAGGGCTCCCCGGCTCCAGCCACACTGGACCAGCCCGATAGAGTGAAGGCCCTCGGGCCGCAGCACTGGGAGGAGTGGCATGGCCAGTTAGGCCAGAACTGGGGCTCGCTGGAGAGGCAGGAGGGAACGTTGAACTCTAGGTGCTGTGTTTTCCAAGGAGCATTTAGGAGACGAACTGAAGAGATGCTGAGACTTAATGCCAGGGTCACGGGGCGTCTGGAGAACACAGTCGGAAGCCGTGTGGGAGAGAGGAGACTTGGCGGGGATGTTCCAGGACCTGCAGCAGCCCCGGGCTTGCTCGGGCGGTGGTGGGGAGGGGACTTGTGGGCACAGGCAACGGGTGGCAGTCAGGGAGAAGGTACACATTTGTGACGTAGCAGTGGGGTGCGCAGCTTCGCCAAGCAGTGAGGACTCTCATTTGCTGCAAGTGCTTGACCCAGGACCGTCGCTTAGAAAGTCCTGGAAGGGAGTCCTACATCCGCGGAGAGCCTAGGACCACGAGAACACGACAACCATAATTCCTTTATTTCTGGTCAGTGTCCTAAATTCGTGTGCGAAAGAACACACCGCCTTCAGTTTTGATGGCCCGAAAGGTACTTCGATGTTACACGGTACCCGTGACCAGCATAAATGGTCCTTTTAGTGAACAGGTAGGAGGGGAACGTACCTGCGGAGAGACAGAATGCCAGGGAAAAGCCGTGGCCTGCGTTCTTCTTCAGCGGTGGAAAATGCCAGGTCTGCAGCCCGCGGCAGTGGGATCGCGTCTTTGGATGCGATTATTTCGTTCCTGTCGGGTTGAGTTTTATGCCATTTGCCCTTTTTCCAAGCGATGGGCATCATTTTGGTTGCTGACAGTGCGTGTTAGGTTTCGCGTTACGAGGGCGTTTTAGAAAGTGTGGTAATTGCACGACGAAACTATTTATCATTCGTATCGGTAGGAAATGCAGTGAGAAATCCGTGTGGGTGTTAGCTCGTGTCCCCAGTAACAGCCCGGGACGGAAGGGCAGGGAGGGAGGAAGGAAGGGAAGAACGGTGTGTTTGAGAACCACGGCCTTGTTTTCAACACGTCCGAGAACCACGGCCTAGTTTTCAACACGTCCGACTCACGTTTTGGAGGAGTCGTGCCCATGTGTTGTGTCCGGACCATAAGAACTTGAAGGAAGAGCTTGTGCCCCCGGTCACACGTGTCAGGGCGGCGGAGAGCCCGCCCGGTGCCCCGCAGTGACGCGCCGTCTCCCGCCTGCAGTGCTTCGTTCGACTCCACGGTGCGGCTGTGGGACGTGGAGCGCGGCGTGTGCACCCACACGCTGACCAAGCACCAGGAGCCCGTCTACAGCGTGGCCTTCAGCCCCGACGGCAAGTACCTGGCCAGTGGCTCCTTTGACAAGTGCGTGCACATCTGGAATACTCAGGTAACCCCCCCCCGATTCCTGTGACCCAGTCCTTGCCGAAGGGAGGGCCCAGACAGCGTTTCCGGGGACCCGGGCTGGGAGCAGCAACTGGGGAAGCTGGTGCTTAGTAAGGATGAGTTGCCTCGGAAGAAGGCGTGGAGCCAGCCCTCCTGCTGCGGGCAGACCCCCGGCTCCGGGCCACCTGCCCTGTGCTCCGTGGGGGCTGTGGGTCTTCTCCCCAAGGGTTACCCCCGTCTTCTACGTGTTCAGCTTCCTGGCATCAAACACTACCCACCTCATCCTTGTCTCGGGTACGGGCAGGGGCAGAGACGTGGCCCTGCGGATGCGGAGGTTGGGGGGTAAAGGGGCGTCCCCCATCCGAGGTTTCCAGGAACCAGGCAGCTGGGCTGAGGCCAGCCCTGACCTCCCCTGCACCGCACCACATCCCGTGGCTCCCGGAGCAAACGAAGGAGTGTGAAGGACGCGTGTGCTGTGCTCCTGCCGTTATGTTTGGGCAGCAAAGCACAGGCCAGTAATGGGTTGTCCTGTTCTCAGAACGGAAAGGAGACCGTACCTGATTAAATGTAGCCACTGTAGGTTTCTCTGGCCATACCTGAGGACCGCAGAGATCTGAACGTAGAGACGAGAATGGACAGGAACTAGCAGAGTACAGAGTACCGTCTTGGGCAGTCAGCTCTTCGTTCTCCTAATGGAAGGGCGACGGTGGTATGGTGGGAGTCCTTGAAAAGAGCCTGCGATCCATTTTGTCGGAATTCAGGATGGATCAGATGGCTTCCTTGCTCCCCTTTTTGTGTGACCTACCCTCTTTCTTCCCCTTGGGCTCGGCTGACATTCAGGTGTCTCAAGTCCATGTCCCTCCCCCTTGGGACAGGAGGAGGTGGTGGATGGGCCAAGGTAACGAGCATAAGGGTGCAGGGGTCCACTGAGACCCCAGGCTTCCCAGGGACTGCCTTATGTAAGCCGCACCCTCTTGCGGAAGGAGAGGCGACAGCGGGCTCTTCATGGACCCAGCCTGACACCAAGCCGAGCCTCGCAGCCTTGGATAGGCCTCCTGGAGAACACATCCCAGGGGTAGCACGCCAGAGCCCCTTCATGAAACACTTCCCAGAAGTCCTGCTAGACGGATCTGTAAAGTGACATTGGTCGTTAGGTGCTGTCTGCTGTCAGAAACTCGTCAGATCCGATCCTCCCCTCTGTATAAATCACAACACTGTTGGAGAGATTTTATTTTTGTAAAGATTTTATTAAATAATGTAATAGATTTTTTTTTTTTTTTTTTTTGAGAGAGAGAGAGAGAGAGAATGAGAGGAAGAGAGCGCGAGCTAGAGAGCCAAAGTGGTGGGGGGGAAGACAGACGGACAGGGAGAAGCAGACTCCCTACTGAGTGGGGAGCCCGATACGGGGCTTGATCCCAGGACCCTGAGATCATGACCTGAGCCGGAGGCAGATGCTGAACAGACGTGAGGCCCCCAGGCGCCTCCACCCAACATAAGAGCTTGAACTTATGGCCCCAGGGTCAGCGGTCATACTGTTGAGTGGCTGAGCCAGACAGGCTCCCTCTCAGACTTCTGCTTCAGAGAGAGCGAGCTAGAAAGTACAGTGGGGGGCGGGGCAGAGGGAGAAGCAGGCTCCCAACTGAGCAGGGAGCCCAACGCGGGGTGCCATCCCAGGACCCTGGGACCCTGACCTGAGTCACCCGGGCGCCCTCTTTGAGACATTTTAAAGCTCACTTTAATTCTCCATGAGCTGGGTCCCCTCTGAACACAGTACAAACCTGGAACACCATTGACTTGTCCCTTGCTGGTTCCCGTCTCCCAGGAACAGCTGCCCCGGTCTGTGTGGCACCGTTGGTCACAGGTGGGGAGGGGCGCCAGGGTCGCACGGCCTGCCGTGTCTGGGCCAGGCCAGGGCCACCATACATCATGGAGGCTCCCAGGGGGAGTCTGCGGTCTGAGAGGCAGGATCTGCAGCCAGGGTCGCACGGCCTGCCGTGTCTGGGCCAGGCCAGGGCCACCGTACATCATGGAGGCTCCCAGGGGGAGTCTGCGGTCTGAGAGGCAGGATCTGCAGCCACCAGAAAGTTCCCCAAAAAGTGTCGGAACTTGTGTGTGTCTGGAAACTCGAGGGACCGGCTGTGCGTGATGTCACAGTGCACCAGCGTCTCGTGGGTCCCGCCCGGAGCAGTGGCTCGTGCGTCGCGCATGCCTGCTAGTAACGGTGGCTTTGCTTTGCAGACTGGGAGTCTCGTGCACAGCTACCGAGGCACCGGAGGCATCTTTGAGGTCTGCTGGAACGCTCGCGGGGACAAAGTGGGCGCCAGCGCGTCCGACGGCTCTGTAAGCGGCCCCCGCGGCTTGTGGCCAGGGCGGGGCGAGGGTGGGAAATGGAAAAGCCGTGTGGTGGACAGCTACCTGCCGTGGCGGGGGGCTGGGATCGGGGGGCTGGCACACAGCGGGTGCGGAAGGAATGTGTCTGGGGTGAAGGAAGCTTCTGGGCTGGACCCCACAGGGCGGGCCCCGTGTGAGCACGGCAGACTCCTCCTCCCTCCCGGAGTGTCACTGTGGTTCACATTCTCGGGGAAATGGGTGGTTCTCAGCTGTGGGGATTCTGTCCCCCTGAGGACGCTGGGCAACGTCCGAGGCATTTGTGGTTGTCCCCGCTTTGGGGGGAGATGCTGCGAAGCCGCCTACGGTGCCAGGACGGCCCCCGAGCAGGGGAGGGGCCGGCTTTCCGTGGCACTGGTGCTGAAGCTGAGACACTTGCTCCTGCCTCAGTTCCATACTGGTGCCCCCAACCTGGGCCCTGGGGTGGTAAAGGCAGGGCCTTTCCTTCCGCAGGTCTCCTGGCTCCCAGTGGTCCTGTTCTGGTCCCATGAGATGGCTGGCTTTTTGAGTCATTCCTGCACCTCAGCTCTGAGGCAGGGGGGCAGCAGGGGACAGGCTTTCCGAGTGTCCGCGTGGGCCCCCACTGCTCCCAGCACGCGTGTGCTCAGGCTTCTCATCTGCCCCGATGCAGAAGCGTCCACCGCCATTTGTTCCCAGCCCTGCCCTTGACCTGGCTTTTCCGTGCAGTGCTGTTTGCTGGGGATTGGTGGGTCACGTGCTCAGACATTAGCCTCGTACTCGAGGTTCTCTGAATCGTCGTGTGTGCCAGTAAAACTTTATTTACAAAACACAGGTGACGGGCCACATTTGGCCCAAGGGCTCAAAAGGCATCCCGGCGTTGTCTGTGAAAATAACAGGCACTTCCTGGTTCCTTTTAGGTGTGTGTTTTAGATCTTCGGAAGTAAACACAAACTATTTCAGAAAAGAAATCTCACGGACCAGCAGTGAACGTGTGAGGTCGCAGCGCTCGCCAGACACAGTGTACCCGCTCCGAAGCTGGACGAACTTGACCTGCATTACAGTGTACTTGGAAATCAGCTCATCCCTGCCCACGGGAGTCTCTCTTCTTTCGTAACCTTCATCAAGAAGTTTAAGACAGAAACATACACAGTCCTATCGAAGGGGGAAAGAACGGTTTCCACCCACAACACTCAGCCTGGGAAGCACGAAGCCACCAGCTCAACGGCGCGTGGTTTGGTTTCCATCCAGAACAGGCTCTGATGGCCGAGAAGAGGAAAGGAGGGGGGGAAGAAAGGAAAAGAAAAAAAAAAAAAAAAAAGGCTGTGCCAAAAAAAGGAAAAACGAGAAAAATGCTGTGATAAACCAAAAGGAGGGGGAGGGGACTCTCCCCCACGTGGCGGGTTTTTCCCTAACAATTTGGACACTACAGTTCTCACACAGGATGTTCAAAGACCAGTTTGTACCGATGAAATGCGCGACTTTGTAATCCCAACACTTTCTACTTTCTAGAATCTTCTTTGTCCGGTGGTTTTTCTGTCGGCTGGAATGCTGTCGTCTGAGGGCCTTCGGTCTGAGATGGAAACTGTTTCTGGTTTGTTGGCCTCTTTCCCCTCGTCCGCCCCTACCCCCGCCCCTCTCCCCCGCTCCGTGGGGTCTTGGTGCGCCGTCCGCCCTCGCACGGGCCGCCGCGACGGAATCGTGGACGGACGGCTGTCCCGCAGCCCCCCCCCCCCCCCCGCCCCTCGTTCACTCTCTCTCTGACCCTTTCTCACAGTTGCTTCGGATCTTGGTCTCAAAGGCACTTTCGGCGCGTACTAAGTGCTTTATGTAAGCAGGTGGGGCAGGGGGGCTTTTTACAGGAGAAAAAAATACTTATACGAGAGAGAGCCCGGAGTATTTTTGGAAAAAAAAATATTTTTATGTTAAAACAATTTTAAAATCCTAAAAATGGCCATCAGACAGAGAGAGCTTTGTGTGATTCATATTTTAAACAAATTCTAGGAAGACACAGGCAGGGTCTGAGGTCGCTTTTTCCTTTCCCTTCAGCGTGGCGAACGGTGGTTAGGAGCGTGGGTGGGAAAGGTTGGTCCTGCGCGTGGGTCGCGAGCTCGCCCTGCGGCCGGAGAGAGCGAGCTCAGCGCCTTCTGGTTCGGAGACGAGCCCTGCACCTCGCTGGGCGTGGGGCCCCCGACGCCGGCGGGAGAGCGGGACGGCAGCGCCCTCTGACCCCAAGAAGCATTCCCCAAACCAGATGGCATCGAAGACGCCATCCCATCTTGCCACTGGGCTCCGTGTCCCCTCGACAGCTCGTGGGCGGCGCTGCAGACACCGAGAGCAGGGTGGCCCGTCCTTGCCACGCGGACATAAAAGGCCCCAGGATCTCCCCTGGTCTCCCAGGGACAGAAACGAACGGGGAACGCACATGTCCGGTCCCGGAGGTGAATTACATAGGTAGAAAACGTCACTAATAATTTCTGCTGTCTTCATAATTTCTTTCTCTCGCGAGAGAATAGGAGAAAGTTTTTTTTTTTAAATGAATCTTTTTACTGTTTTTAAAAAATTAAACATGGCTTTGTGTTCCTAGAGGAGTTTCCTTTCATTGGATCAGGTGACCGTTGTACTCTTGTCGTCATAACCGGACACGGACCTAGTTTTTAAGTGAGCGGCGGGGAAGGCATGGAAGAGAAGGCCCTAAGCCACCTGTTTCCCGGCGGGCACAGGAAGGGATGAGGAAGTTGGCCAGGCCTGGGGACGGGGTCTGGTCATGGGTAGGCGTCCGCTGGGTCGTGTGTCCCAGCAGTGACACGGGGTCTCCGCCAGAGGGTGGCATGGCACCCACCCACGCAGCTGAAACCCCACGGGCAGGGAGGGCTCATTAACTGGCTTGGGTGTTGGAATCCTGCGCACCCCATCTGCGCGAGACCCGGAAAGTGCTCTGTGGACGACGTGGGGATTTCATTCAGGCTCTTGTGCGTTAGTGCTTAGCCCGGGGGTCCGAGTCCCATGCAGTCCTCACTGCCCTCTTTGGACAGGGCAGACAGGGACTTGCTGGCCCCAAGGCGTCCCTGGGTTTCGGACGCAGTTCGCTGGGGGTCCAGACCAACACCGTCTTGACTCCCTGTGCAAGTTCCAGAGTCACCTGCACAGAGAGTAAGTTGTCGAGGGGAGCCCTGTGGTCGGGACGTCCCGGAGGGGTTCACTAGGTAATCGTCACAGGGAGGTCGGGAGCCCAGGCGTCAGCCTCCCGAGGACACTCAGCCACTTGGGAACCAGGACGTAGGAGCCAAGAGCTACAAGGCCTCGCACGACACAGGCTTGACCCCTGTGTGCAGGAAGGAACGAAGCCAGAGAGGACGGAGGCCACCTGTCCGCATCCCCAGCTGCCCCGAGCCGCCACGGCACAGGCGCTCCCCACGGGCCTGAACGGGGACCGACCGTGAACGCGCGGCCCCTTCCGTGCAGCCCCGCCCTCGCCACGACGAGGACCGCCATCCGTGGAGCCTCCCACGTTCGCCCTGTGGCCAGGAAGCCGGTAGAGTCCCCTCCGTCCTCGCGGGATGGCCCGTGGGAGAACACACGGTCGGTCCTTGCTGACGGCGCTGAGATCGCGGGGAAATGCTTCCGTCTCTGGGACCAGGGGGAACCCCGGCTCTGCATTCACAGTAACACAGGATGCGGCCCAGGATCCGCGGTTGGGTTTCAAGTGACCAAGAGCGCGTTCCGCAGGCCCGCCCGGCAAGGGGATGCTGCCCTGCGGCGGGGGGCCGGGAGGGCCAGCCGGGACAGGGCGTCCGGCCGCTGACCCCACACGGCACCCGGGACGTGACGTTTGTCTTGTCTTTCTGAACCGAGATCACGGAGCCACATGAAGTGCACTTTGTCAGATGTAAGGGTCTGCTTTATTGTTATTTTTAACCTTCTGTTCCACCTTTTTCTTTTCTTTTTAAATCGTGTTTCTTGTCCAATGCAGAAATGTTCTTTCCGCCGCTCACCGAGGTTTTGAATTCTGGCTTCTGCGGTTTTTATTGTCTGTGTCAGACGTACAGCCAGATGCGGTCCCCTGTCTGCGTTTTCTCTCGATCCCGTCCCATGGCATCCGCCCGTTCTGTCCTCCGGCCCACTCACCCTCACGCGCTGAGAAGAGTCACCTTGTGCGTCGTAGCTCCTTTGTTTCCAGAGAGAATCAACCGATCATACTCAGTGTCTTGAATAAATTGCTCTATTTTGATATTAGAGAACTTGGTGGGTGTGCTTTCTTGCTCTCGCGGGGTGGACCCTCGGGCCCAGGTTGACACGGACGGACGGATGGACAGAGACCAGATGCTGCGTTTTCCCAAGGAAAGAAGTCGCGTGCGTCCCTCCAGGGTCGCTCTGGTGGACGGGGCCGTGGGAACGAGCGCCCAGGGCGGGAGGAACCGCAGCCCGGCCACGGCCGAGGGCTCTGCAGCGGGGACACGTTTCCACGCGTTGCTGCTTCGCTGTGTCACCCGGGGCTGGTGGCTGGAAAGCGTCCGAGCAGAGGGGTCTTGGCAGGTGGGTCTGGTAGGGTCCGAGCTCCAGGGCTAGCTTTGAGCCACCCGGAGAACCCCGGGTCACAGCACACGGGGACTGCACGGTGCACACGAACCTTCGGCAGAGGCTGACCGTCTGGCCTGTGCCACGCGCTGACAGCTGTTGACGTCACTTCGGTCGGCGGGCGCCCCCGAATTACGGGGTATTGCTGTGCCCACGATTAGAAAGGAGCTGGGTGGGGAGGGGCGGCACAGTGCTGTTCAAGCACTTCTCTGCCAGCCGGGTCTCCGAGAAGGTCGCGGTGCCCTTCCCGCCAACGGCGACGTGGCCCTGCGCCGGAGCGCAGCAGACAGCTGGGGCCCTGGTGCTGTGGGGGACGCGGCCCGCGGCTGCTGCGTTTCGACGACTCCCAAGCAGACCCAGGACGTCCCCCCGGCTCGGGAACTGAAGGTCCCGGGAACAACCCAGGGGCAGGCACGGCCGTGGGGAGAGCACAGGGCACGTCGGGGTCCCGGGGATGGAGGCGTCGTGACGCGTGGCTTTGGGGGAAGCCGCAGCCTTAGACGGGGCACTTCACAGCAGATGGGACACGCCGTCACTGTGTGTCGGGCAGCTCCAGCTCGCGGTCACTCCACCGAAGTTGCACGTGCGTCACACCCTGACGCGGCTGCTGACGGCTGCTGCCGGCTCCTCGTGTGGGCTCGGGAAGGCGTCCGGGCACCCGGGGCTGCGGGTGCCGCTGACGGACAGCGGGACTGGGAACCCGCACAACGCTCGGGCCGTGGCAGGATGTTGGTTTCTCCCAGTCTGGCTCCCTTTGCTCTGTAACGGCTCATCCACGACAAGGTAAGCCCCGCCAGGGGACGCGTTTCCACGTGCACCAGGACGGGGACAGGGCGTGGGAAACGGCCGCGGAGAGGGCGGGACGCTGGTCTGCACAGTGTCACCTGCCCCGGACACTCGGACACTCCGGAGAAGGGCTCAGACGAGGACCCAGTTTCCGTCCAGCAAGAGCGACTGGGAGACCCCAGGCAAACGGGCGGGGGGAGTCTATGCAGATGAGATGCCGAAGACGAAGGGGAGGGGTGAGAGCAGAGTCCTCGAAAGGGACCTGGAAGTGCGACGAGCCGGGGGCTGCCTGCGCTGCCCAGGAGCTCGTCACACAGGGGAGGCGCCCCACGTTCCCACCCGAACCAGGGCCCCAGCTACGGGCGCCGCCCCGTGCCCAGCCCAGGCCGCCGGCACCGTCCCCGCTTTCCCGGCCCCGGGTCGCTGCCCCTCACGCGCCCGAGGTCTCTAGCACCGCGGGACCGGGACGTGCTACAAACCGGCTGCCGCCGCGACCTCTGGTCCCCGTCTGCGGCGTCTCTCCGCACAGAAGGGCTGGTCCAGCTCCATAGGCGTCCCCGGTGCATCCACAGCTCGCTCAGTGCCCGCCACGGAGCCGTGAGTTGGGAGGCACCTTTGGGCTCCCCGTCCCACTGCCCCCAGCTGCGAAGCAGACCCCGGGGCACGCTTGTGTGATGCGCAAGCTTCCGAGACTGACTCCGCCTCGCGGCCAGCCGAGGACAGTGAAGCGAGGCCCGGGCCCTCCGAGGGCTGTCGGAGAACCAGACCTGGCGGCCACACAGACAAGAACGGGCTACGGGTCGGGTCGCATGTGGGGAGCTGCCCAGGCCTCCCAGCGGCCCGCGGCCGGCCTCCCAGACAGGCTGCTGTCGCCTGGTCCTGGCCCCAGTTCTGATCTGGCCTGCGGCAGGGGCACGGGTCCCCTGTCCCGCTGCAGGCGTGGGGAGGCCGGGGGAGCGAGGACTGGGCATCTCGGCGTCCAGGGTGGGGGTGGCCTGGCCTCAGGCCGGCGGGGGCGGGGAGGCCTCCTGCAGAAGGGGCGCTTTCCACGCCGGCGGAGACGGGATGTCCACACGGAGTAAGAAGGCAGCCGCACGTGCACACATGAAGCTCCGGGACGCTTCGGGTCACGGTGGGTCCACCCCAGGAGCGCACAGCCCTGGGCACCTGACCGCAGGGCAGCCGTGCCCGGAGTCCCTCCTGCCAGCAAGTGACTCTCCAACAGTAGAAGTCTAGAAGCTTCTAAGCTTTTCTAAAGCAACCGGGAGCCGGCTGCCCGAAGGCAGGGGTCACGAGGCGGAGCTGCCTGCGGTGTCCGGAGGGAGCGGCGTCTGGCTTTCGTGTACACGGACCCACGGGGCCGCCGCTCCGGGCCGCGCTAGACACTTTCGCCCAGAAATAAAAAACACGCTGAAAGCTTCAGAGCACGCACATTCCTGCGGACGGAAAGATTCAGCCGACGCGGCGATCTACAGCGGGTTCCCAGGTTTGCTCGGACCGTGTCCCCGCTCGGCACGGGACCGACGGCTGCGCGGGGGACGCAGACCTGGCGCGCGAACGGTGCAAGCGCAGCCCCCCCCCACCGCCTCGGCTTCCCCATCCGCCACCCCCCGCCCCCGTGCGGCCGCGTCCACACTTGGCTCAAGAGGGCCCCGCAGGGGTGCGGTTCGGAGAGGAGCACGCGCGCAGGCCGGGCTCGGTTACAGCTACGCTCGTTTATTGACTCGAGTTGCGAAGGCCTGGATCTGCGCGCCCGTGGCCGGCGGCCCCCTCGGAAAAGCGAAGGGCCACGAGCGTCCGGAGAAGCCGCTCCCCTCGGCTCCCGGCCCTGCTCGCAGATCCTCTCCGCAGAGAGACTCCTCGGGAGGAAACCCTGACCGGGTGGGAGCAGCAGATCTGCGGGCAGAACACGGTTCCGAAGACCGAGAAACGGAGGCTGAGGACGTGGCGTCCGGACTCCCGTCCCACCCCTCACAGGCCTCCCTGGGGCTGGGGAACAGAGTCAACCTCCCTTCCGTGGCGGGGCTCACGGGCGACGTGGAGTTCAACTGTGCTGGCCTCAGAACCTGGGGAGGAAAAGAGAAAAGCCTGTGACGGTGCTGCCGTCTCGGAGGGGCGCTCCTCGGCCAGCGGTGCGCGACCCGCGGGCACCTTCAGCCCCCACGTCCTTTCTGCCAGGCCTCCGCACCGCACCGGGGGCCACGTGTGCGCCGGGGCCGGACCGTGGGGCAGCTGTGGCCCAAATACACAGCAGCGGCGCACGCGGGGCCGCTTCGGGGCCCTGTGCTGTCGGACAGGGGAGCACGGGATCACGGCCCGCTGTGAGCACGGGAGCAGCTGCCGCAAGGGGCGCTGCCTTGGCCAACAGGACCCCACGGCCGCCGGGCCGCCTGCACTCAAGCCCAGGAAGGGTCCAGCTGGGTGGAGACCACCAGTCCCGTCAGACAAACACACGTCTGCACCGTCTTTTCATCGGGCGCCTGCGTGGCTCCCTGGGTTAAAGCCTCTGCCTGCGGCTCAAGGCATGACCTCAGGGTCCTGGGATCGAGCCCCGCATCGGGCTCTCCGCTCGGCGGGAGCCTGCCTCCCCCCCTCTCTCTGCCTGCTTGTGATCTCTGTCAAATAAAAATCTTTTAAAAAAATTGTCTTTTCATGGCTGATGCCATGGGGTTTCAGGGCAATTAGTCCTGCCAACTGTGTCGACCTGAAGGTCTGTTCATGCCAGTGATACACCTTCGCTCATAACTTGGGTGGGTCCGTGGGAACAAAGGTCGGAATCGTTCTTTTGTCCCACAAGTATTCAGGTATGCCTGCTGTGCGCCCGGTTCTAGGCTGGATGTGGGGAACACCCAGACGGAAGACGTGATGAAGTGAGGCCCTTTCAACTGTGCAGGGGCAAGTGACTGTCCTTCATGTCTCCAAATCCCAAACTCCATCCACCAAGGGGCCTTGCTGTTCACTGTAGTCTCCACTCATGTCACACTCTCTGTTGATTCTCCACACTCGGGCACACTGGCCTCTCTCGCACGTCCAGCCCAGTTCTGCCACGGGGCCTTTGCACATCACTTCTGCCCATAAAGATCGTTCCCAGCTTTTCTCATGGCTCCCTTCTACACCTCATTCAGATCTCAATTCAAATGGCATCAGCTGTTCAGGGTAGGACTGTGGCCTTCCAGATCCCACCTCAAGGGCTCCCTCATCCTCAGGGACAAATGTAGGACGCCCTATCTAGCGCCACGCTCCTGCCCTTACGGGTTCGTGTTTCTTCCCGAAACCTCGGGGCCACCCGGGATACTGTATAATCCTTTGCCTTTGTCATTCCGTGTCTGCCACTGCAGTGACAGTCCCCGTGGACGAGAAAGCGGCCTGCTACAGTCAGCACAGTCACCAGCAGCGCCCCCGGAACACGGGCACGCAGAAGGTGCTGGACACACACGGTTGCATGGGTGCGCGCGGCGGAGCGAGGGCCTTGACGGCAGCGGGCGGCCGCGCTACGACGCAGAGCGCTGAGTGGGACTGCGGAGCAGAAGGAGGCGGGGGCGGGAGCTGTTTCTCAAGGGACGCGTGCGGAGCCGCGGGGAACCGCACGGGGACGAGGACCTTTGCGCTCTGCGGAGACGAGCAGACAGTAGGATCGGTGTCTGCGGAAGGTCCAGCAAAGCCTGAACCACAGGAAAAGACGATGACCCGACCGAAACACCCCAAGCACGGCACCTCAGGGGCCCCCACACTGCCACCCGACACAGACACCCCTGCTGGGGGCGCAGCGGTCATGGCTTCCTCCTGGGCCCGGGTTAGGAGTCCGGGAGAGTGGCGGTCTGAGCGCGCCAGACTCTGTCTCACGACAAAGACGGGGGACGCAGAAGACGGGCGGAGGCACGGACCCCGCGGAGATCTGGACGGCTGGTGAGGTCGGTGGGAGACCGTCAGCTGGGGCGGGGAGCCGGCTCTGCCAGGAGACCGGCAGCAGCGGGGAAGCCTTCCAGAAGCCACAGCTACGACCGCACTGCTGCTGGGGGCGCTGGAGGCACTTCAAACAGACTTGGTTTTCACAGGGTCACGCGCTGCTGCTGAGGGCGTCCTGAGCTCATGGAACTGGTGGGGACTTCCGTGGGGGGACATCACGTGCTGACTTGTGATCAAGGTCTGGGCTGAGGACACTCCCCTGCGACCTCACACTTCAGGGCCTGGCCTGGATCCTGTGGCTTTTGAGGCGTTCCTGTTCTTTCATCCTGCCCCGGGGCTCCGTGGAGAAGACGCATCTGTACCCTGACGGCCTTCCCAGATGCCAGCGCTGCCGCCCAGCCCGGCCTGGCCCGCACCCGCGTCCCGGGGGCCTGCATCTCCATGGGTTTTCTCTTCCTGCCTTAAAGGTCTCCACGAAGACAGAGCGTGCTGGCTGAGCGAGGCTCGGAGAAGGGAGTCCAGTGGGGCCGCTGGGGATTTGCACTAATTCTCCGTTGGTGCAAAGTGTGAACCCCTGACGCGTGTCCCTGCGGGGCGTGCAGAAGCCGGCAAGCTCCTGGGACCCAAGGGCCAGCCCCTCTTCCTGGTCCCTTGCTTTGACGAGCCCTGCCAGCCCAGACAGGTCCTTGGGAACTTCCTGGCCCCACGCAGGTGCACATTTCTGAAGTCACACTGCATCTCTCCCACACTGTCACCTGTCATTCCTGGACTCCCCGAAAGCCCGGTCAGGGGGCACCCCCGAGCCACAGAGATCTTAAGACACCGGGGCCTGGATCGCTTTCAGGGCACTGACTTTGATCTAGAAAATGCACCAGAGTCAGAGCACGGGGCCATCTCCTCCACACTTCCCTCGCAGCGGCCACCGCGGGGCCACCCGGTGTCACACTGCGGAGGGCCGTGACAACAGGGAACGAAGGCAAAGATAAGGACTCCCGAGAGGGACAGGCAACTGTGGGACTGAGAACTGTGGAGGACACAGGGGAATTCAGGACGGAAAAGACCTGCGGGAGAGACGCGAATTCTGGAGAATGGGGAGCTGTGGAGAGAAACGGAACCCGGGGAGAGACGGACTCGTAAGGACGCGCGACAGACTCAGGGACAGAATGTGGCAAAGACGGAGAACTGTGGGGAAGAACGGAACGAAGGGAGACAGGCGACTGCAACAAGGAACTGTGGGGAAGGTCCGGGGACTCGAGAAGAAACAGAGTTGTAGGGAGGACAGAGCGTGGAGGAAAGCAGCACCGCAGGAGACCGAGCGGGGAGGGACGGTGAAGAACCCAGAATGGCGGGAGCGCGAGGGAAACTGCGGGAAATAACCCGAGAACCAGGCCGTGGAGGGTCTGGGAAAGTGTGGGAGGCACAAGTCGCCGCAGGACACAAGGGATCGTTGGAGAGAAAGAAACAGGGCAGAAGGAATTGCACCGGAGACGGAAGACTGTCTCGTGTGAAACACGAGATTATGGGGGAAAAGGAGAAATGTGGGATGGGGAGAAAAACAGGGCATGCGGGAGCGACAAGATCACGGCGGTGAACGGGGAATTGTGGGAATGAGAAACGGTAACAGGAAAGGGGATGAGGGAGAACAAAGGAAACGGCAGAACGTGCTATGGGAGACGCAGGAACCACTGAGAAAGAACAACTGTGGGGGAGAATGAGGGCAGTGGGATAGACGCTATTTTTTCTCTTATCTGCTAATGGTTTTTTATCTTTTTAAACGACTTTATTTATTTGACACAGGGAGAGAGAGAACACGCGCATATAAGTGGGGGGAGCAGGGCGCCTGCGTGGCTCAGTGGGTTGAGCCTCTGCCTTCGGCTCAGGTCATGATCTCAGGGTCCTGGGATCGAGCCCCACATCAGGCTCTCTGCTCAGCAGGGAGCCTGCTTCCTCCTCTCTCTCTCTCTCTCTGCCTGCCTCTCTGCCCACTTGTGATCTCTGTCAAATAAATAAAAACGTAAAAAAAAAAAAAAAAAAGCAGGAGGAGCAGCAGAGAGAGGGAGAAGCAGGCTCCCTGCTAAGCAGGGAGCCCAACTCAGGGTTCCAACCCAGGACCCTGAGACCATGACCCGCGTGGAAGGCACATGCTTATTAACCCGCTGAGCCACCCAGGCGCCGTGCTAATGTTTAAGTTTTCACCTAAAATTCCCGTCAGCTGACACACAGCGCAATAGCAGTTTCAAGTGCTCCGTCTAGTGTCACTGCGTGCACACGACCCCGGCTGCTCCCGACGAGGGCCCTCCTCTCCCCCATCGCTTACTGAACCCATTTCCCTCCGCCTCCCCTCTGAACCCATCAGTTCGTTCTCTACAGTGAAGACTCTGTCTGGATTCCTACTTTCCACTTTTGTTCATTTTTTTGTTTCTTAAATTCCACATATGAGCAAAATCATGTGGTATCTGTCTTTCTCAGGCTTATTTCATTTAGCACAATACTCTCCTGCTCCATCCGCGTGCCTGCAAATGGAAAGACTTCATCACTCTTTACAGCTGCATAATACTCCATGGGATCTTCTTCATGCATTCAGGAGCCAATGGACACTTGGGCCGTTTCTGTAGTTTGCCTGCAGCAGACGATGCTGTTAGAAACGTCACGGTGCCAGCAGCCCTTTGACTTCGTTTTTCTGTGTACTTTGCGCAGTTGCTGCATTATAGGGCAGGTCTATTTCTAACTTTTGGGAGACCATCCTGAAATGCCTTATAAAAAAGTCATTTATAAAAAAGACTTCTAAAAAAGTGATTTATAAAAAATACTAACTTTCAAAGATACACACACTCCTACATTTACCATATTATTTACAACAGCTAAACCATGGGAGCCGCCCAACTACCCATCAGTACATGAATGGGTAAAGCACATACAGTATATATGTGCAATGGAATATTACTCAGCCACAAAAAAGAATAAAAACTTGCCATTTGTAATGACACAGATGGATCTAGAGAGTATGATGCTAAGTGAAACGAATCCGAGAAAGACAAATACCATATGATTTCATTCACTGTGGAACTTAAGAAAGAACATAAAAGAAGAAAAAGAAGAGATCAACAGAAACGAGGTGAGGTGGGAGGGGGGATGGGAGAAGGAGGAGAAGGGGATTAAGAACACACTCATGAGCGGTGAAGAATAAAACCGCGGGATCCCGACACTGTAGCCCGAAGCTAACGCTGCTCCTTATGCTGCCATTTTCACAGTAATAAAACCATTAAACAAAACAACTGTGGAAACAAACAGTACATCATGGAAAGAGAAAGGGTTATGGGAGCACAAGAATCGTGTGAGAAAAATGAACGGAATTAAAGGAAACTACAGAGAATTGTGGGAGACAGAGCTGTGGAGGAATGACAAGAAACTGAAGGACAGAATTTGGGGATAAAAGAGGAACTTTGGGGGCACCTGGGTGGCTCAGTGGGTTAAAGCCTCTGCCTTCGGTTCAGGTCATGATCTCAGGGTCCTGGGATCGAGCCCCACATCGGGCTCTCTGCTCAGCGGGGAGCCTGCTTCCTCCTCTCTCTCTCTCTCTGCCTGCCTCTCTGCCTGCTTGTGATCTCTGTCTGTCCAATAAATAAATTTAAAAAAAATTTGGAAAGAGTGAAATGGTGGGACACGGGGCGAGGGCAGAGAAAGGGGAATTCTGGGAGAGGGCCTTGTGGGAAAGACAAGAGACCATGGGCTTGAACCGGGAACGGTAAGGGACAGGAATTATGGGTGAGTGCATTCTGGGGCCGGGTACTAACTGTGCCTGAAGAGAGATCGGGAAGACTTGCAAAAGAATAAAGCATCAGAAATACTGGGACAAAATGAGCAATTACTGGAATGAAATAACTGTGAGAGCAACAGGGCAGCAGGGAGAACAAGGGATTACAGAACAGACGGAAAAAGTGTGGGACAGAAAAGAAAGTGGGGGAGATCTTGAGCGGGGCGGAAAAGGGGAGCTGTGAGAGAAGAAACGGGGTGTGGGACAGGCAGGGGACTGTGGCAGAGATAAGGAACTGGGGGAGGAGTGCCTTGGGGGAGAAGCAGGGAATGGTGGGAGAAGGAACAGATTACAGAGGAGACACGGGAATGTGGGAGGCATAAGGACTGGGGGAGGAGAAATGGACTGTGGGAAAGGTGGACAACGGTGGCAGAAGGAATGGGTCACAGGAAGGATGGAGAATGGCAGGACAAGCAATGGACAGTGGACAAGAGACGGGATTGTGGAATAGGTGAGAAATGGTGGGAAAAATGCCTTAGGGGAAATGAGGGGCATGGCGACAAAAGGCAATGATTGTGGGAGATGTGGGGCATGGTGGGAGAAAAAAATGGCTTATGGGAGACGTGAAGAACGATGGAAAAGGAATGCGTTGTGGGAGAGGCAAAAGACTATGGCAGTGACAAAGGACTATGGGAAAAGTGAGGCATGCTGGGAGAAGTGGTTTATGGAAATGAGGGGGTGTGGCCACAGAAGAAATGGATTGTGGGAGATGAAATGGAATATGGGATATGTGGGGCATGGTGGAAGAAAAAACGGTTTATGGGAAATGAGGGGTGTGGTGACAGAAGAAATGGATTGTGGGAGACGTGAGGAATGGTAGGAGAAGAAATGGTTTATGGGAAATGGGCGGAGCGAGAGAGGAAATGGATTGTGGGAGATGTGGGGAATGGTGGGAAAAGAAATGGATAAGGGAAAATGAGCGAGGCAACAGAAAAATGGATTATGGGATATGTGAGGCATTGCGGGAGAAGAAATGGCTTATGGGAAATAAGAGGGATGGCAATAGAAGAAACGGATTGTGTCACAGATGATGGGGCTGAAAAGCATCGTGACCCAGACTCTGCCTGCCTCTCTGCCTGCTTGTGATCTATGTCTGTCAAACAGANACACGCCGAGGCAGGACACTGGACCACTTCCTCATACCAGACACACAGCTGAGATCAAACTTGGCTCAGTGTGCGTCTAGGGGATTTGCTGATGTGTGGAAACAGTGATGGCGGTCACAGTCTGGATGGGTGCTACTGGCAGTGAGTGGGCAAAGGCCAGGAAGGCTGCCCCGCATCCTACAGGGCCCAGGGCACCCTGGGCACAAAGAATCCCGCCGAGCTAGATGCCAACAGTGCTGGGAATGAGAGACCCGCTCGGAAGACAGATACAGTAGATGGGGCGGGAGGCTGACGGACGAGGCAAGTGCATTTCTGCCAGCCCCAGCATCAGCTGAGGAAAGATGACGGAGCCTGTATGTTCCAGAACACGCTCAGTCGTCGACCTTCTTCAACATTCTCTCTGGCTCTTTCTGAAACTACCAGTTGGCTCGTGAAACATTATCTCTACCAGAGATCTGGTCCTACGGATCAATCTGCATGTAGGTTACATATGATTAGGTCAGCTAAACCTTTGCAGAAGTCAGAGCGGTGATTTCCAAACCTGTCCTCATCAAGAGCTGCAACAGGGGGCGGGGGGGGCGCCTGGGTGGCTCAGTGGGTTAAAGCCTCTGCCTTCAGCTCAGGTCATGATCCCAGGGTCCTGGGATCGAGCCCCACATCAGGCTCTCTGCTCTGCGGGGAGCCTGCTTCCCCCCCCCCCCCCCCCCGCCTGTCTCTCTGCCTACTTGTGATCTTTGTCAAATAAATAAAATCTAAAAAGAAAAAGAAAAAAAAAAAGCTGCAACGGGGCTAAAACGAAGCCTTACAAGGAACCTCTACAGGGAGGACACTGGTACGTTAGCAAAAAGTCATTTCTAAACTTCCAATTCGGACTGTACAAACACTACCATCATCAGTTAGAGTAAGGCTGCTCTCGTCCACACAGCATTCTGAGAGCAAACACTGCGGGCTGCCGGCGAGGCTCCATCACTTGGTCAGCTGCCTTTTCCTGTGTGAGTGTGTGTGTCTTTGCCCCCGCGTTTTGGTTTCATCCCATCTGATGCTGGAAGTTCAGTTTCACTGGGCTAGGGAGCTGAAAACGTCCGGTTTTAAGGCAGCTCACCGCCCCCCCGTCTGGGTAGTCCTCGCTCACACCAGGGAGGCAGGGTCATGTCACTCCACCCCACGCACACGCGCCAGCCTGGCCATACGCGTCAGCAGCCGCCGGCCCGGGCAGGTTACCGGCGTTCGACCGCTCACAGGTTTCAGCACGCTCGGCTGTTCCCGCAGGTTTTCGCGTGTGTCTCACTATGGAATCACTTCCTCGATGTGTAAAGGACCACGCGCGGGTTCCGCGAGCCCAGTCTGATGACTGCAGGGCAGTCCGGAGGGCACGGCACTAGCGTCGTTAGGTGGAAGGACAGATCCCAAGAGCCCGTCCGGGTGCTCGGGCTTTTTACCTGCAGCGGCTACGCGTGAGCCGGGCAAACCCCCTGCAGCCGCCACAACAGAACCCAGGCCGGTCCCACCCTCCCCAGCCCCGCGCACGGGTCCGCCAGCCATGTGGCATGACAAGTGCTCTCCTGTCCCTGACACCATCCAGCCAAGGCGGGGAGCACGTGCGGGTCGGCGAGGCTGGCCTGCCGAGGCACCGAGCGGAGGCGGCATTAAAACATGAGAGAGAGGTGGGCGGTATGAGCCCGGTTCGCATCGGTGTCGGCTACTGTGCCTGAAGCACGTCACCGCAGGGCGGACCCCCCCCAGGCCCGCACCATGTCACCTCGTTTGACACAGGACTTCCCGGCTGGCCCAGGGACTCCATGACGCACCCACCTCGGCGGACAGGGCTTACCTTCAGACAGCATGCTCAGCGCCTCGTCCGACGTGTGCCCGCCGACCCCTGCCACCTTCCTGCAGGTCGGACGCTCACAGGGCATGTGGGAGCCCTCGGCGGACAGGCAGGTCCGCTCACAAGCGGACGTCGCCACGGACTCCCACTGGATCTCCTTCCTGGGGGACCGAATCTCCAGGCAGCAGCCCGTCCAGCCGTAGAAGGCCAAGGACAAGAGAAATCCTTGGGCCGGATTCAGTATCCCCTGGGAGGCAGGAGAGAACGCAGGGGTCGGTCAGGGCTGCGGGGTGGGAATGAGAGCATCAGCTCCGCAGCCCGCACACCCAATGGGCTGCCTCGTGGGGAAGGGAGCCGCCGGGCTGGTCTGGGGCCGGGAAAAGACTGGCTTTAGGCACTGCACCTTCCAGGGAGCCTGAAAACGGAGGTGGGGGAGGGGACTGGGAGAAAGAGGGGGGCAGGGGACGGGGAAGGAGGAGGAGGCAGGGGACAGGGAGGAAGGGGGCGCAGTGAACGGGGGGGGGGGGGGCAGGGGACAGGGAAGAAGATGGGGGCAGGGGAGAGAGAGGAAGAGGGGGTGTCCTGCACCGCTCACCCCTGCTGTGCTTTTCTACCCCACGTTTCTTCACACATGTTAGTCTGTGGTTGTAACTAGCCTCATGTTCGTATCTTGCGTTTTCCCTGACTACTAGAGCTCTCATGAAGTCACACCCGCACGCCATTCCGTCAAGTGGGAAAAAAGGAATTTAGGTAGCCATTCCCTCGTGTTTCTTCTATTGCGGCGGCCTACCCTGCTTTCTCATGACAGATCCTATTACAAGGAATACCGTCACGCCTGTGGCTTTTTTACAGGCTGAAACCGTTCTTCAAGCTAAATTCCCTACAATTTTGAGTCGGCCTGAAAGGTCTGATACGCTGCGCCTAACCGGCTGACAGGAGTCGTGCCCATTTAATCAATGATCCCAACAACGAAAGGCACGAGCGAGCTCGCAGATCAAAGCCAGATGGAGGGATGGGGAACCCGTTAAACTCATTCTCCGTACTGCTGAGCGGTTCTTGTCCTTCGGACTTTTGCTTTTCAAGGAAAGAAGTCTAAGGTCAAGCCTGACCTACCATAATAAACCACGTGGTCTTGGCCGCATTTCTGACAGGTTTCAAAGCGCTGCCGTTGATGTCTGCTTGCATTTCGAGATAGAAGAGAAGGCTCTCATTGATGACGTTCGGCAGCCAACTGTCGGAAGCAAAACAGGCCCACGTTATACAGGATTTCCTTGAAAACGCAGGGGGTCAAGCTTTTGCGCAGTGGCAGTATCGTAGCCAATGAGGTTTATCCGAGGCGTGATTATTGCTAATTGAAAATGCAGGTCAGGGAACGTGTCTTCTAAGTCCCCTAAGTCCTGGGCAGGGGGCCCCCTCGATCAGCAGAAACCAGCACATGCAGAAGTTCAGAGCTGTAACTCCTTTCCTCACGTCTACAGCAGAGAGCGACAAATGTTTCCAAGGGTAACGCTTGCTCCACGTCGGCACGAGCAGATCTAAGCAGCCGATGAAATAGACTGACCCTATATGAAATGACCCAAAACTCGGGTCTCGCTGGAAGGGTAATGAAACTTTTTGAGGGAGACCTCCTAAAATCTCGCTATCTTATGTTGAAACTTTCTAATGTTACTATTGCTGGTAGGCCAACGAACGTGAAAATGATGGGCTGAGCATATTTTTAGAGAGAGATAGTCTCCATCCCTCCTAGGAGAATGTCCAAACCAACCTCGTCCTCGCGGGTACCTTATTAATATGCACAAAGACGCACCCTGCTCTGCAAACTACTGATTCACTCTAGCAAAAGCCTTTTGGATTCCTGTTTCACTTCGGTCACAGATCCATGTTCAAAGCCTCCTCCCGAAACTCGGGGCAGAGTGCTGGTGGTGGGGCAAACTGAGCAGAGAGAAATTGCTCTCTACATTTCCTGACCACCCTGGAGCCCTCACACCAAAAAATGTACCCTTGCCCTTGTTTCTTGTCAGATACAGGAATCCTCAACGGATAAATTTTAAAAGCGTGGTCAAGTGCCTTATTTCAGAGTTAGCCCTAGCAGCGGCAGTAAACACTGGACACGCTTCTGGGTTGTAACAAAACTAAACACGGGACTTTTTCTGTTCGAAGGGCTTTACATATGACCCGAGCAGACGTGCATATCTTCCCAGGAGTTCGCACGCTGGGGACTGGCCTTCCTGTCTCACGCACATTTCCTCTAAGCGCCCCGGCACAGTGTCTGAGACTTCCTTTCCAAAGAGTCTTCCCTTTGCAAAAAACTTCTGAGTCATAATTAGAAAAGTGTGACTGCATATCCCTTCCCAGTGACAATTTTAAAAAAATATATAGAAGAAAGTTTACCAAATGATGAAAACCAGCATTATTTTGAAAAACCGGATCTTGATCATGGCACCCATCCGCCGCTCATTCTCTGTGTAAATGCCCTGTCTTCCTTTTAGGAGAGAGGCCACTGCAAAAAAAAACCAGAGGGGAACTGCATGTAATGGTCACGACTTGCATTTCCGGAGGGACAGGGAAGGGAGTCCGCGAAGACGGCAGCCCGTAAGCCAAGGCAGCGGAGCGTGTGGGCGCGACACCGCCTTCTTCCCTCCCAGCTTCCAAGCTGCGGTTCTCACAGACTCCAGGTGATGCAGAGTCTGTCAAACTTTCTTCTTTTTTCCTTTTCAGTTTATTTGAGAGAGGGAGACAATGAGCGAGTGAGTGAGAGAGAGCTCAAGCAAGTAAAGGCGGACCGGCAGAGGGGAAGGGGAGGAGGTGGCTCCCCGCTGAGCAAGGAGCCCGATGCAGGGCTCCATCCCAGGACCTCGGGACCATGACCTGAGCCGAAGGCAGATGTTCAACCAAACGAGCCATGAGGTGCGCCTACAACTTACACTTTCAAATCACGGTAGACTTACATAAGAGTGGCAGAGATAGCACAGAAAGTTTCTACGGACCCATACCCGGATTCCTTCAATGCCAACACCTTACACACCCAGGCTCACATTTGTCACAAGAGATGAGCAATACTGGTTTACTATCAGTTAAGCTCCAGATTTTATTTGGATCTTTTGAGTTCAAGAACTATATATATTTTTTAAGAACTATATTCTTAAAAGTTTATATTTTATATTTTAAAAATCATGCACACTTGGGGCGCCTGGGTGGCTCAGTCGGTTAAGCATCTGCCTTCAGCTCAGGTCATGGTCCTGGGATCCCGGGATCGAGTCCCACATCGAGTCCCACTCCCACATCTTGGGATCCCGGGATCGAGCTGAGTGGGGAGCCTGCTTCTCCCTCTGCAGTTTCCCCTGCTTGAGCTCTCTCTCCCTGTCAAATAAACAAATAAAATCTTAAAAAAAATAATAATAATAATGCACACTTGCTGTTTTGGAACATTGAAAGATTAAAAATTTCTCCTTATAGAAAAATTGGAAAATATAAAAAACGTTAAGGGAAAATTAATGACCCATTGTGCACCCTCAAACCAGCACTGTGTACATCTTAATACATTTCTTTCCAGGTCTTTTCCTATATGTGATTTTCATTTGTTTGATGTAACTAACTCAGCGCTTTCATGCAAATCTGCTTAAAAAGTTGCTGTATTGTCAACAAAATCCAAAGACAACTGACAGAATGGGAGAAGATATTCGCAAGTGACAGTACAGATAAAGGGCTAATATCAAAAATCTATAAAGAAGTTATCAAACTCAACACCCAAAGAACAAATAATCCAATCAAGAAATGGGCAGAAGACATGAACCGACATTTTTGCAAAAAAGACATCCAGATGGCCAACAGACACATGAAAAAGTGCTCCACATCACCCGGCATCAGGGAAATACAAATCAAAACCACAAT